GACCGGGCAGGGCTGGCCAAGGGGGTTGTTACAAGGACGGGCTCCTGAATTAGGTTCTATTGTGTGTTGCAGGGGATTGATTCACGTTGAGGGGCAGGGCCTAAGTTTGTAAGAGGCCTGGCCTGCTGCTTCCCAAGGTCTGTGAGCATGAGGGTTCACTCACCTTAGCTGGTTGATCACGGCCGTCCTTTTCAGTGGTAACGGAAACAAGAAGCCATTCAGCACTGCAGTCGGGGCTGGATTTTTTGTTCTGGTCTTTCCCTCCCCATCGAGTAATGAGCTTACCCGGGCTTTGGCCTGCCTCGCCCTTCTTCTGGCTTTGGAAAAGGTTCTCTGGTGACTCTTCTGTCCCTAGCTAATTGAATCCCATGTATGGGCCTTGGCCTTTCTAATGGGGTCCCTACAGGCACGTGTTCTTGTTCCTAGTTATATACTTTGACTTGGTTTCCGCTTTTTGTAGGTCTATTTGAGTTTCAGCTGCATAACTCCTGCTTGAGCCAGTGTGGTCTCTTACCATCTTCCTTTCTTATGCATTGGGACTGTTTGCTCCTGTGCCAGGCAACCCACCCTCTACAAGCCTGCCAATAACAAATCTCCCCCCGTCCCAAACAAACAAAACCAACCCCTGGCCCTGGCCAGTAACATGGCACCATTTCCAGAGAAGTTCAAGCTGCTCCCCCTGTATTGCCCCTCTTATCTGCCAGCCAGGCCTGTGCCCCTGAGCGGAAGGAATGTGGCATTGGCTGGCAAGGTCAGACTGTCCTGGGAAGCGGGGCAGGGAGTGCTGGGCCAGGCCCAGGGTGTGTTTGCACAGCCAAGTGAGTGACAGGCTGAGGGCTTTATTACAGCCTGAAAGGCTGTGCCTGAGGGGAAGGAGAAGGACTATTGAATACAGAAACAGGCCAAGACAAGGGCCATGTATAGTTGTAATATGGAAACAATGTGCCCTGAGTCACAAGGGCTGGTGTGAAAGCTATGAACACAACTCCAGTGCTGCCAACATCACACATTCAGAAATGGCCTGTCAGGCCCCCCAAAGCATAAGCTAGGCCTAGAAAGCGAGAGGTTTTAAAAGAAATGACCGTGCGGGTCTTTCGCTCGCTCCTGGGCGCCGAGAACCGAGACTCCACCCAGGTCGTGTTTTCAGGATTTTTTCCCGGCTCCGCGAGGGCTAAGAACTTACCTTCCAGTAAGAAAGTTGAGCCTCTCACCTGATCTCACGACTGCAGGAGCTGTGGATTTGAGAGTCACATCATCTCCCAAGAACTGGCAACGCTGGGATTGGCGGGAACGCTAGGGGTGGCAGGTGTCTGGTTTTACCCCGGACACTCCAGTATCTGAGCTCTCTGTTCGGGAAACAAATTGAGAACATAGAGATGAAAAAATAGAACTGTCCGGTATTTTCCAGCTCAGATGTCATGTCGATTGCGATGGAATGTCTAGTGTGTCTGGTATTTTTGTTGAAACCATCTGGCAACCCTAGGGAACGCTCCTGTGATGCAGCTTTAGTGGCACAGAGCAAAAAGGGCAACATCTCCGTCTCCTGTGGCTTTGCTCAGTGATGGATCACCCCCATTTGATTCTGCATGGAGCGCACAATGGTGCACAAGGTAGAAGTGTGTGGACACATACAACATTCTGGGCCTTGCAGCCTGAATGGTGTGAAGCTCAGACCTTTTGTAGAAGCTCCCACAAGGCTGCCTTGGCCTTTCCTCTGAACACTAAGAGGATCCAGCATTAAGATCAAGTAATTAGCATTCAGGCCTGTCAGGGGATACAGACTGTAATTGTCCGAGACTCTTATATGCCCGGGTGGGGCCTGGCGCAGCTTGAAGTTGAGTGGTGTGCCTGGTGGCTGGAGAGACCAGGCTGGGACCAAGGACCTGCCTATGGAGAAATTCAGCATGCAGGGAGACTTTGTATTGCCTCCTCCTCGCCTGTGGTGGAAAGGCGTTTGGCTGTTTGCACCTGCAGACAACACAGCACCTAGCACAGAACAGGGATAGGAGCCCAGGGGACGAGACCAGCCGAGGCACCAGACCCCATATTTCGCAGCTCTGTGGCCTGGGCGCTAGGAACCAGCGCTGCTACCCTGTGCCTGAAACCCCCCTCAGGGCTGAAAATGCAGGTGACCCCTTACTCCCAGTGAGCGGAGCCACATTAGCTCCTTGCTGCAGTCACTTAAGAGTGCCACTGGCTCATCCCACTACACGCCCGTTGGAGGGAATCTCCTCGCCCGCCAGCGCAGCCGTACGCAGCAAGAGCAGGGCATTGGGGCGACCCA